TCATGCATTTTGAACCAGAATAGCAGAAAGGGGGAAAATTGTATTTTTGGTGGTCTTTTGTCGGACAAGATGCTCCATTTTGAGATTGGAATAGAAGTGTGACATGCAGAGGCGTATTTAGGGGGGGGGCAATGGGGGCTCAACCCAACCCCCCACCTGGATCAGTGAAATTATGGTTTTCATGGGGGTTTTGGGTCACAACTGGTATTGAACCCCCAATAAGAAGAAAAAACTAACCCCCCATGCTTCCCACGGACAAATTCCTAAAAAACGCCCCTGGCGACATGAAATTAAAATAATAATTTTATCATTAGAGACCTGAGAGAGAAGAAGAGAAGGTAGAGAGGGATGAATCTGCCGAATCTGATGAGTATGAAACGGATGAGCTACGGCTAGGATTTATCCAACATGGCGACGGTCGGACCAAACAACTTCTACCGTTTGAATCTCTAACCCAGCTTTGTATACTGGAGTGCTGCCAGGTAATTTTTCGAACAAAAAATAATAAATATAAAGATTGTTTACGTCATGAAAGAAAGAATTTTTCAAATATCATAATTTTTATTTAATTATTTTTCTAAATTAAACAAATCTATGGTTGAGTATTAATGAAATCAATGCATTTTTCGGAATGTATTATTTTTACAATAAATATTTTTGTATATTGGTTCAGTTTTTAGAATGGGGGCCGGGGGGGGGGGTCGTGTAATTTACCCCCTCCTCTTTTAATCTCATCAATTCATTTTAAACCACTGGAATTTTGTTCTACAGTGTCTTATTAGTCAATAAATATTATTTTTTAGGAGGAGAATAATAAATTGTTCCCGAATTATGTTAAAAAGATTAAGAAGCAGAAAAAAACAGCTGAAATAGTTAAAAAAATTAATTTACTCTAAATCAAATAGATAAAAATGCTTTAGTACAATGTGCATTTCTCTGTTGCCACCTATTGTACAGGGTGTCCCAAAAAAAACATGGGAATTCAGTAACGAATTCGATATCGTCTTTTTAAATAATTCTTTGATTTAGTATAGTGATACCTACTGAGAAAGCTGTAATCTGTTAGAGTTTCGTCTGCTATGTTCACATTTTGTTTGTTTATGTTTTGACTGTATACGGTTATACTTAGTAAAACAAGAAAATTACAGTATACAAACAGAGTAAACTTGTCCATCTTCACTGTTCATCTTGCAGAGACCCGAGACATTCTAGACACATCTTTACAGTCTTTTACCCTTTTCATAAAATTAACTCTAGCAGACATATTAATATTATGGCTTTTGAAATTAGGTATTACAATGCTAATTCATAACAAAGACGATTTCCAATTCGTTACTTAATTCCCATGTTTTTGGGACACCCTGTACTTGATAATCTATTTGCTCTACAGGGTGTCCCATATCATATTAGATCGTCAATCGGTCTAAATTACGGTTTTCGGAAATAATCAGAAAATTTAAGAAGAAGGAATCAATTAAAAAAATTGATTAAGGCTAATGTAAGAGTATTCTTGAATGCTAGGTTTTTCGGGTATTTTGGGTTTAAAACTTGCAGAGATAATCTTATATGGTGGTATGGGACGCTCTGTAAATCATGATACTAAATAATAATCATTTTATTTTATAAATATTCTTACAAGAACATAAAGTGTTGAATCTATAAAATCTGATTGTTAAACATTTTATTGCTCCTTGTTATTGTAATGTTAATGTATACAATACATTCATATCATATCATTATTATGTGTCTTCTTTCTTAATAATTGAAATACCAGGTTGAACTTCCGAAAAGTTGAGTTTAAATGTCGTCGTCCCAGAAATTTGTTCTTTGATGGTTATTTACAGAGAGAGAGGGGGGGGGTTAATGCATGACAATAAAAAAATCATAAATTATTAATTTTTGTCACTCCTGGTGTAATAATTGTCGAAAATTATAAATTTCCCATGTTTGGCTCATTGTTTAATAATATATGCCAGACAATATTTGGAATTTGATGAATTGAGAATGATAAAATAAAATTATACACACAGCCGCATGTGTTACACGCATTTTTTCCTTGTCTCTGCTGCATAAATCTGCTAGTGACTTCAATACAGAACTGCAGTTGAAAATTCTTGGCTTGAAAAACTGAAATTCTCCAAAAATTTGAAGGGTCCGGTACTGTTTTAAAATATTAAGGGTCACTTGAAATTACGCAAATAGTCTCATTAAACAGATGAAACAGATGATCTGAATAGAACACTTCTTCAACTATTTAAAAACTAAAAAAGAGGTTCAACACAATATCTGAGCATGAGACTTTAATGAGGACCTTTAACAGTCGTCTCTGAAGTGACGAAGTCGTATCTTTTTATTTGGCAACTGCACAAAAATGTCTTCCATATTTTGTAAGTTTTTATAATCTTTTTTTTGATTTTGTTAGAAATATTCATTTCAATTGCGCAATCGAAACCCCTGATTCTTTTAGTTAAATAATTGCGTGAAGCGTATAAGTCCCCTCCCCTCTGTATAATCCCCTCCCCTCTGTATAATCCCCTCCCCTCTGTATAAGTACCTTCATTAATGCGAAAAATGAAAGGGGGTATATAGGCTTACGGTGAAAAATAAGCGCTTTTGATCGCTATAATCTTATTTCTATCTGTAAGTCTATAAGGAGAAAATTGTTAAAAACGGCTCATACCGAAAAACGTAGTGTTCATACAAATTCAGAAAGTTGCAACATTCAACTCGGATCGTAAAATAATCAATTTAATTCCAAACAAATCATTCAGATATTACAAACAGTCGTCATCGATTATTTTTCGACGCATTCGTATAGTTAATATTTCATAATATTTTTTTTTAATAATATTTCGCTGGCGCTGGATTTTCGAACATTCCTGGAAAATATGAAAATGTCGTCTTCATTATCAAAAGTACAAGAAACAATAATAAATGTTTTTAAAAGTAACTCTCAGATCATGATAAATAAAAAATTATTATAAAATATCAACTTTATACGTATGCGTCGAAAAATTATCGATGATTATTGGTTGTAATATCTGAATGATTTGTTTGGAATTAAATTGGTTTGTTTACGATCCGAGTTGTTAAATGCAACTTTCTGAACTTGTATGGACGCTATCGGTGTGAGTGTTTTTAACAATTTTTTCCTTTTGCAGCGATCAAAAGCGCTTATTTTTCACTGTAAGCCTATAACCACTTTCATTTTTCGCGAACACTCCCTTTAAGACTCCTTTTTATGATATATGTTTGTCTGCATTTCTTGGTGTTTGTTAGTTCCTCTCCCTGGCAAACAAAATTATATAATATCTGCTTTATATATATATATATATAGACCCTTGACCACATTGTCTACAACAGTCTTTTGAAATTCATCCACTACTTACTGCTGAAGATTATATATTTGCTAGTTGGATTATTTACCTCAAAAGGAATTCAGACTAAAATTTTAATCATTGGAATCAAAATAAGTTAGAAAAACATATTTAAATACTAGATATAAAACTCAGCTTTGCCTGGTAACTACACTTTCTCTAAGGTCAACCAACTCAACTTAGAATCTAGAAACTTAGAACTAGACAAGAATATTTCCGTTGGTTGACCCACTTATCCAATCAAAATTTGAGAGAAATCAGTCAAGAGGTTCGTGCATAAGCAGCCAAACAAACAGATATTGCTACTTTATATTGTTTAGAATGTTTTCTTCCGTAATTTATTAAGTTATTTGACACCAAATAATATCATAGTAAATTGGTTTTAACGTAAAATATATTTGAGTAAAACATTTTTTAAAAGAAATGAACTGCAAAAAGTTTTTAATATCTAAACATTCTAAACTATTCACCAACTGTCATGTCTCGTGGGACACCCTGTATCATAGATTAAGGCGTTCAGATATTATGATCGATTAAACAGGAAAATTAAAGGAACTATGAAAGAACTGGTGTTTACATTTATGATTTTAGCCGGGGGATGATATTCTCGGGCTTGAAGGGGGAAATGCCCCCCCCCCCCTCGGGATCTTTAGTACTAATTGTTGTTGATTCACACCTTTTTAAAAACCAAAAGAAGAAACGCTACCCATCCAAAGAAAAAGACCATTATCGATCCAAAAACAAAAGTATGTTGAAAAAAGTAGGAAAATCTTTTTTCGCGTTGCCTCAATAGTTAATTTCTGCAAGGTCAATTTCAAGCATTGATCAGAAACTCCGAACCTTTAAAAGTTGGATCCTTTATTTTTACATTATAAATCTCACCCTGGGCCTGTATCTAGCTAGCTACTCTTCTGCACTCAACGTATATAATATACATTTACAGACAATATCCTTAAATAACATATGTTAGTTAATTGAGACAACCTTAGAAAAACAGTTGTGTATTAATTTTGTTTTCTTAATATCTTCCGACTGTCTAACTAGTATCTAGCTATCTGTCTATCTAGTAACTATCTATCTATCTATCCGTATGTAAGGTTTAACCCCTGTCCGTCGAAATATCAGTTTTCTCTGTTTATCCAATATTTGAATACAGTTCTCACAGTCATATAGTATCCATCCCAATATCCTTGTATCCATCCTAGTATCCTAGTATCCTAGTATCCATCCTATTATCCTAGTATCCATCCCAATGTCCTTGTATCCATCCTAGCATCCTAGTATCCTAGAATCCTAGTATCCATCCTATTATCTTAGTATCCATCCTAGTATCCTAGTATCCATCCTAGTATCATAGTATCATAGTATCCATAATAGTATCCAACTATCCAGGTATCCATCCCAATATCCTTGTATCCATCCTAGCATCCTAGTATCCTAGTATCCTAGTATCCATCATATTATCTTAGTATCCTTCCTAGTATCCTAGTATCCTAGTATCCATCCTAGTATCACAGTATCATAGTATCCATCCTTGTATCATAGTATCATAGTATCCATCCTAGAATCCTATAGTATCCTAGTATCCTAGTATCCTAGTATCCTAGTATCCTAGTATCCATCCTAATATCCTAATATCCTAATACTAGTCACAATACCAGCTTCAATACTAGCTACAATACCAGCTTCAATACCAGCTTCAATTCTAGCCACAATACCAGCTTCAATACTAACTTCAATACTAGCTACAATATCAACTTCAATACCAGCTTCAATACTAGCTTCAATACCAACTTCAATACCAGCTTCAATCCCAGCCTTAATACCAGCTTCAATGCCAGCTTCAATACTAGCTTCAATACCTGCTTCAATGCCAGCTTCAATACTAGCTACAATACTAGCTTCAATGCCTGCTTCAATACCAGCTTTATAACCAGATTTAATACGAGCTTCAATGCCAGCTTCAATACCAGCTTCAATACCAGCTTTAATACTAGCTTCAATACTAGCTACAATACCGATTTCAATACCAGCTTCTATACCAGCGTTAATACTAGCTTCAATACTAGCTACAATACCGATTTCAATACCAGCTTCAATACCTGCTTCAATACCTGCTTCAATACCAGCTTCCATACTAGCTACAATACCAGTTCCAATACCAGCTTTAATATCAGCTCCAATACCTGCTTCAATGTCAGCTTCAATACCAGTGTCAATACCATCTTAAAATACCAACTTTAATACCAGCTTCAATACCAGCTTCAATAATAGTTTCAATACCAGCTTTGATGCCAGCCTCAATACTAGCTACAATACCAGCTTCAATACCTGCTTCAATACCAGCTTCAATACAAGCTACAATACCAGTTTTTATATCAGCTTTAATACCAGCTTCAATACCAGCTCCAATACCAGCTTGAATAATATCTACAATAAAAGCTTCAATGCCAGCTTCAATATTAGCCACAATACCAGCTTCAATACTAGCTACAATACCAGCTTCAATACTAGCCACAATATCAGCTTCAATACTAGCTTTAATACTAGCTACAATACCAACTTCAATACCAGCTTCAATACTAGCTTCAATACCAACTTCAATACCAGTTTCAATCCCAGCCTTAATACCACCTTCAATACCAGCTTCAATACTAGCTTCAATACCTGCTTCAATGCCAGCTTCAATACCATTTTTAATACCATCTTAAAATACCAGCTTCAATACCAGCTTCAATACTAGCTACAATACCAGCTTCAATGCTTGCTTCAATACCAACTTCAATACCAGCTTCAATACCAGCTTTAATACTAGCCTCAATACTAGCTACAATACCAGCTTTAATGCCTGCTTCAATATCAGCTTTATAACCAGATTTAATACGAGTTTCAATGCCAGCTTCAATACCAGCTAGCTTTAATACCAGCTTCAATACCATCTTTAATACGACCTTTAAGATAAGCTTCAATATCAACGTCGATACCAGCTGAATCTGTCTCTTGTTTAGCATAAAATCAGAATAATTTTGAATATAAAATACATTTATTAAGACTAGAATAATATGTGAAAAAAAACACTAATATACATTTATCAATTATTGCACAATGTTGAGGAAGTGAAGTTTACCAAACTGATTAAGTTAGATAACTTTAACTGCTGTATATAAAACATATTTGCTTGACAATATTACATATTTTTAATTGAACGTTTTGATTAAAAACTAATTTAATAAAACAAAAATTATTAATAAAACTTAAAACACTTTTGATTCCGTTTTAAATTTGTGTGTCGTAGATCATTCTAAGTCATATTTTCAATGAAAAGCGATAAAATATATATTATTTCCGAGAATTAATCCATTGAAATGACATAATAGTTGGCGACATGATTTTAAATGTTATAGATTAATTGTCGTAATGTTGCATTATTGGTAAAAACTATTGTTTCTTGAATATCAATTATTAGTCTTATATTCCTGATAAATACGTACGTAAACTGTTTTGTGCAAAATTCTAAGTTTGGAGTTAAACAGTGAATTCATAATATCAACATTTTTAATCAGAAGTTATGATGATTGTTTTGTTGGTCTCTATACTCGAGTAGGGTGGAGAACATTCAACATTAATTTAAAGGGACTGTAAGCGTAATTTCAAGTGACCCTCCATGCTTTATCTGATCAAGTATGAATTAGATATCAATACTCTTGTTACTTTAAACCGTTAATTTTTATTTGTGGGTTCTCTGCAAAAGTGACTTGCGCATTTCTAGTGCAGGAGAATATATAGGAATTATCAGAATATAAACACTTTTAAACCTAGAAAAACAACATTATCTTCAACATTATTAATCAGATAAAGGTTTCAAGGATACGGTTCTGAATCTGACATTGCCATCTTTGCAGGTGGGTCACTTAAAATTTCGTTTAATCAATATAGTTAACATATATGTATAAGTTAAAATAAAATTAAAATGATTTAAAGTTTCTTTGAGTATTCAAGTGGAGGGTATGAGAGGGAGAGAGATGAAGGTGAAAGGAAAGGAAGATATGGAGAAGAAAGATGATGATGATGCCGATACATTACTGGATACTGGAGTAACCTCCATACGGACATCTTATCCATAGTTGGAGGATCGTCCTCTAATCCTGGAGGTCGAAATATTGAGGGTTGGGGAGGGGGAGGAGGAGAGGGGAGGCGGGGGAGATACGTCTCATGGGAGTCCTCTAAATCTAGTTTCCGTTTACTCTTTGAAAACTCTTCCACATCTCGTATTCTTCTGTCAGCGTTGGTTTCACGATCTGCTAACCTTGGCAGCCCTATAATAGGACCTTGTGGCAGCGCTGACATATTCTCTCCTGTTGTGACAGCCCGTATCCCAATGGCTATGGCATCCTCTGCAGCTTGCTGACGTTTAAGCGCAACTTGAGCTGCCATGACGCGCTGGCGCTCTGCGATCAGATTACATTTGGCGCAGGAACAATCTCTAAACTCACACTGGCGTTTGTGTCCCTTCAACCAGGAGATAAATCCATGGTTCCGGCATCTGAAAATAGAAACAAATCTAAACTATTTTTCGGGATAAAATGTAAGATAAAAATCGTATCCTTTAAAAAATCTTAAGCTAGCTGAGTAAATAAGAGGAAGATAAACTCTACTAATGTTCTTCTTTACCTCTGCTAAATAATTCTTCAAGTCACTATTTTATATAATATATATTTTAAATAGAAAAACATGGAAATCTTCCTAATTTTTGCTTTGGCTCAGATTTACAGACCGTTACTGCTGAAAATTAGTCATGGAAAACTATTTAAAACAGTGCCATTAAAGGGAGTGTTCGCGAAAAATGAAAGGGGGTGTAAGCTTACGGCGAAAAATAAGCGCTTTTGATCACTACTAATCTTACTTGTTGCGTCTATCAGGAGAAAATTGTTAAAAACGACTCATCTTGAAGAACGTAGCGTCCATACAAATTCAGAAAGTTGCAAAATTCAATCGGATCGTAAAATAATAAATTTAATTCCAAACAAATCATTCAGATATTACAACCAATAGTTATCGATTATTTTTCGACGTATTCGTATATAGTTAATACTTCATAATATTTTTGAGTTTGTCTTTTTTAAATGATATTTCGCTGGCGCTGGATTTTAGAACATTCATGGAATGTTCTAAAATACGTCGAAAAATAATCGATGATTATTGGTTGTAATATCTGAATGTTTTTTTATGGAATTAAATTGATTATTTTACGATCAGAGTCGAATATTACAACTTTCTAAATTTGAAAGGACGCTGCGTTCTTCGGCATGTTCTGAACATTTTTCTCGTGATAGACGCAACAGATAAAAGTAAGATTAGTTATTTTTCTTATTTTTTTTGCTTATTTTTCGCCGTAAGCTTATACCGCCTTTAATTTTTCCCTTTAAGATAAATAGAAACTTTTGTTCCATCAATTCAAGAAGTTGGAACAAAATATTTTCTTTCAAAACTACCTTTTTTAATGGAAGACAATCAAGTTGGTTGAAACAAAAAAATATAAATTATTAATTACATACCTAGCACACTTAGGTCTTCTTGAACCCTCACCGTGCATCATCCCTTGATACTCCCTACAGACTGATAACTCAAGATACTTCTAGGATACTACCAGGCGCTCAGTTCTCCTCTCCTATTGGGTGAAACCCTGCCGCTGCTCTCCTCTGATTGGTCTACTCTGTTTACTCAAGTATCTGTGTGTCCAATGACCGGGTGTTACAGAATAGGATTCAATTATAGTTGAGTAAGTTAGTTTGTTGCTTTTGGGTATATTTATGTGTATTTAGTCCAGGGATGGAACAGAATTCATCCCTCACTTGAATAAACTATCTATACAGTACACCACCCATACTTTATCTTTGGCCTCTCCCCTTTCATCCCCCTTCTCTCTCCCTTACCCTCCCCTAGCTAGCTAGCGATTCCCTCTATAGATATCGCCATCCCCTTCCCTTTCATCCCCCTCCGGCCCTGAAGGCAGTCAGGAATTTGGTTTAAATGCTCATAAAAGCGACTGATCTTAATTATTCGATCCCTTTGCAAATATCGATTTATTGCATGGAATCTTGATCTTTACATTCAAAATTTAGAGTTTTCGTAAAATCAAAGCAGATTAATATCTGACATGTTTATAATCATAATAGCAATTGATATGAACAGTTTGAATTTATTTGAGACACGACGCAACCAAATATATATAAACATTCAAATTTGACCTTATAGATATTTCAAACTGTGAGATCAAATAAGCACTAAGATATAGACAACACTGAAACTTAGTCATCAAAACCATCATCAGTCGCGACTTTGAAGTTTCGGAACTAGACATATATGCATTATAAAATGATACGTGTCTGTTTCGGAACTAGACATATATACATTATAAAATGATACGTGTCTGTTTCGGAACTAGACATATATACATTATAAAATGATACGTGTCTGTTTCGGAACTAGACATATATACATTATAAAATGATACGCGTCTGTTTCGGAACTAGACATATATACATTATAAAATGATACGCGTCTGTTTCGGAACTAGACATATATACATTATAAAATGATACGTGTCTGTTTCTAGCCAAAGTTTAAAAGGAGTAGTTTGCAAAATACTGCTCGATTTTTGTGCGAGATCGTGCACATCTTGATTTGCAGTGTAATACAAGTTTTAAATGCAAAAGGTTTCCGCCATCAGATTGCAAAGATAAATGAATCATAACTTTAGAGTTTGTAGCAAAAACTCATTTCATTTGCTTCTCTCTATACTTGAGCTAACATCCTAACTAGAGTAACTGCGAGGTCTAAAAGTTGTGCTAGTTATTTCGCATAAAAATTATCATTTTCTTTGAGATGAACGAATTGAAGAGAATGGCGTGATTGAATAGAATGGAAGGATTAAAGAGAATGGAAGAGAATTTAAGGATGGAGGAAAAATAAAAGATTGAAGAGAAGGAATGGTTTACAGATAATGGAAGGTTTTGAAGCGAATGGTAGGATTGAATAGAATGGAAGAATTGAAGAGAATGGAATGATTGTAGAGAATGGAAGGATTTTGGAGAGAATGAAAGGATTGAAGAGAATGGAAGTAATGAAGAGAAAGGAAGGATTGAAGATAATGGAAGATTGGAAGAGATTGGAAGGATTGACGAGAATAGAAGGATTGAAGAGTACATGGATGGAAGGATTGAAGAGAATAGTACGATTGAAGAAAAAGGAAGAAAGAGGAAGGATTAAAGAGAACGATAGAATTGAAGATAATGAAAGATTGGAGAAAATGAAAGGATGGAAGAGAATTGAAGAAAATTAAATGACTGAAGAAAGAAAATGGAAGAATGGTAGATAAGACAAGGATTGACTAGAGAATGAAAAGAATTAAAGAGAATAAAAGGATTGAAGAGAATGGAAGGATTGAAGAGAATGGAAGGATTGAAGAGAATGAAAGGATTGAAGATAATAGAAGGATGGAAGAGAATAGAAAGATCGAAGAGAGTGGAGGGATTAAAGTATGAAAGGATGGAAAGATGGAAGAATTGCAGCTGAGGATGAAGTGTATCTAGTATCAGGTTACACCCAGATCACTGTATTCAATCTTCATTATCAAACAAACCATGAATTTAAACTAAACATATCAGTGGTTAATATACACACCACACTCCGTATGCACAGCACAAAATACACCAAATATCGGAGAGAAAATATATCAATAAAACAATATTATACGATTCGTTTATAATGAGTTCTTAAATATTGAACAAATATTTAATTTTACTAATTATTAGACTGCACAATTAAATGTTATAATGCAAGGAAAGTTAATTGCAGTTGCGTATACTCTCCGAACATATTCGTAAACAAGAATAGATGCATTAGTGTTCGTAATTAGTATCCGAGGAGGATAAAAGCATTGAATTTTTAAAATTTTGATAATTCACATAACAGTTTCCTATGACCAGAATATGTCATTGATTTTTATGTGAAAGATGGATCCCATGTCAAGCTGTGACATCCGTCTTGTGTTTACATTACCGCCCAGAGACAGTACATTGCGTACAAAAGATGCGTACACCTCTGAAATAACTTTTCTTGTATTATAACCTTGGCACAATTGGACTTTTAAACCAAAAAAAATCGCTGCAGTAATAATTTCTCTATGTAAACCTTTCTCAAGAAAATATTCACAATTTTAGTATTTTATTTTTAAAAAAAGAGTATTGTTTATGTCCAATTCTTAAAAAGATTTAAATACCCCTAAGCTGCCCCCACTCTCCCCTCCCCCCGATTTACGTAAAAGTTCGTTAATTAGCTCGACCCCCACCACCGCTTTATACACATACATCTAAACAGTTTGTTTTGTTTGTCATGATCTGCAGTTCCTCTCCCTTTTGTCCATCTGACAGCCCAATTTTTTTTGAAATAATCTTTTTGTTTATTTAATTTCTTGTGATTTTTAACAAATTTTTTTTTCGATTTTGATGGTTAGTATATCGTTAGAAATGTTGAACTGAAATCAGATTAAAGTGCTGCCAAAATTGTTTTCTACACTAAAATCTGAAAGAATGCAGATAAAAAAGTGGCTTTACCTAAGTACATATAAAAAATTTTTACATTCATTTTATTTCTCACTCTCAACATATTCTCGAGTGGTATTCTCGAGTGGCCTTTCATTTAGAAAATTTCATGCTTGGTGCACAATATCACTCTTTCAACCTTTGTCAGATCATACAATTATGGAAATATACATATTGTTGAAATAACTAACAACTTTCAATTGAGAGGTTTCTACTAAAGTGATTTCCAGATTAAAACTGCAGAGACAAGAAGGAAATTATGGTGCAAGGTTTAAAAAGTAGAAGTAGTAAATTGAACACATAACTAAAGGGACTGTAAGCGTAATTTCAAGTGACCCTCTATGTAAAGATGGCAATGCCTGATTTACAAACCTTAAAATCTTTTGTCCGGTCAATTAATTGAGAAATGGAGAAATTATCGAATGAAGCACTTTACGAGTAAAAAAAAACAAAGTTATCTTCTACATTTTGGATCAGACTACGGTTTTATGCATGGGTATCGTTGTGAATCGGAATTGGCCATCTTTGCCTGGAGGGTCACTTGAAATTGAGCTTAAAAAGGTGAATTAAGTTTTTGTCACAAAATCAAAATGTCTAATCCCTATATTGCTGCCACCTAGCCTTTAATATTTCAACTTTAGAATATTTGATCTATAAGAATTAATAGTTTGTTATATCAAAAGTCTACGGTACCGTGTTGCACAGAATTAGAGATTACAAAAATCAGAGCTTGTCAATAAGTCATCAAACAATATCGCGTTTATATTTGGTTCAACAAAAAGGAGCAGGCCCCCTAAATTGATATTATGCATTTTAGATTCTAAAGTACATATATCTACTGAGTTTACGAATATACAATATATCAATATAAATAAAAGCATATATATAATATAGTTTGTGGGCTCCATATTGACTAAATAAACAACGTAAATATTAGTGTAAATATGTAAACCCTGTAGAGTAGAGTAGAGTAGAGTAGAGTAGAGTAGAATAGAGTTGAGTAGAGTAGAGTAGAGTAGAGTAGAATAGAGTTGAGTAGAGTAGAGTAGAATAGAGTAGAGTAGAGTAGAGTAGAGTATAGTAGAGTAGAGTAGAGTAGGGTAGAGTAGAGTAGAGTAGGGTAGAGTAATCTCATAAAACGTTTCTAAATAAAACGCTCAAAAAAATCATAACATTTGGTTTAAACTTTAGACTGAAATATTAATTATCTTTTTTTAATGTTTAAGGCATCTCATTATTATTTACATGGAATGGAGGGGGTGCAGCCCAAGCCCCGCGAAACCGTTTCTGCGCCTCTCGCTACCTCTCCAAACTTCCGCAATTCTGTCTACATACCTTGCATTTTCGTCTCCAATAAAAGATATTTGGCTTTTACATCCACAAAAATCAAATAATTTTAACATAATAAAATTGTTTTAATGATACATGAACAATTTGTTTTGAAAAGTCTATTTTAATTAAGATTACGGCTTCTAATTTCACAAATTCCTTAACTTGTGAATAACTATTCCAGTTTTTAAAACGATAGAAAATATTTATATTATTTTACAAGAGTATTTTGTACGAATTAAACTATATTAGAACCAATTCACAAAAACAAATTAGTTTCTGTGAAGCAATTAATTTTGTGCTTTTATTGTATGCTTTGTGTAAACTTTTCTCCAAAAAACAAGTTAAAATGAATTGAATTAATATTTGAAGTTTGTGGGCTTGGAGACGTAGCAAGAGGCACGAAGACGGATTTGCTCGGCATGGATGTGATTTCGCGGGGCTCATCGCGGCTCTGCACCCCATATGGTTATATGGCTGTTCTTTAATAATATATTGTTAAAATTGAAATTCTGTAGACTATTATAATTTTATTATCTTGGTAAAATTAAAATACTTTTAGGGCTGACAAGATTAGTAAGAAGTAATGTTCTAGGAGTAACAATTAAGTCTCAATTAAAAATATATATATTTTTAAATCTTTTGGAATCGGATATCGTCAACAAATGTCACTAGATTCATAAGAATCATGATTACAGCTCGATTAGATGTAAAATACATTTTTGATGGTAGATAGATAGATAGATAGATAGATAGATAGATAGATAGATAGATAGATAGATAGATAGATAGATAGATAGATAGATAGATAGATAGATAGATAGAAAGATAGATAGATAAATAGACAGATAGATAGAAAGATAGATAGATAGATAGATAGATAGATAGATAGATAGATAGATAGATAGATAGATAGATAGATAGATAGATATATAGATTATTAATAGATAGATAGATAGATAGATAGATAGATAGATAGATAGATAAAAA